GGGGGGGTGGAATATCAAGATGGAGAACTCTATACTGTGGGCCACTGAAATACATACCAAAAATCAATTATTAGGGGATATAAAAAGAACAAAGACATGCTATGCACGTGTGCCAATTCTCTGCAACGAATGTAATCATTATGTACTACAAGTATGTACCAATAAAACTTTAAAAAGTACAATTATTAGACCAGATTTTTTAAAAACTCAAATTGCTAATTTAAAGAAAAAGCAACTTACTCTATATTTATAACTCAAAAGAACCATACACACAAAATATAAAATAATCTGGCTGAATACTTCATCATGAGTAAAAATGTTAGCATGAGACACAAAGATTAAGAAATGAAAGAGAAAAATAGAGAAAAAAAACCAGATGACTTCCCAGACAACAAAAAGTAAAAAAATTCCAGACACTCCTTCCCATCTATACCACAAGCACATACAGAGAAGCAGGAATAAAAACAGAAACAAATATTTTGATGAAGAACCCAATCTTCTTACCATCAAAAGATGTTGGTCTTGCATTACCCATGTTTGCAGCCAGGGTCATAAAAAGAAAATTATTTTCTAATGAGGGTCACAGATTCAAGCAGCCAGCCAGAAATTCTCCATTCCTGTTTGGTATACATATTCATGACCCCATAATGACCTTTTTTTTTGGTCTTTTTGAAACAGGATCTCACTATGCAATTCACGCTGGCCTTGAACTCGCTTTGTACCCCAGGCTGACCTCGAACTTGCAACAATCCCCCTTCCGCAGCCTTCCAACTGATGGTATTACAGGCATGTGCTACCATGTCTGGCTAGCCCATAATGACTTTTTAGTCACATATATAACATTGTGGTGCCATCAAACTACCGTGGTACCTTGGTTCACAAATGCTTTACGAAACAATTTCCTCCACAAACAGAAGCATTTAGCAAAAATCTTATTTCTGTCTGCAAACCCTACTTCTAGTGACAAATCCCACCATAGCCATCCTTCCTACACAAACACAAACACGGCCATCTTTTCCAAAATCACTGAAAAACCAGGCGTGGTGGCGCATACCTGTAATCCCAGCACTCAGGAGGCTGAGGCAGGAGCACTGTTGTGATTTTGAGACTGGCCTGGGCTACAAAGTGAGCTCAAGACAGCCTGAACTACACAGTGAGACCCTATCTCAAAAAACAAACAAACAAACAAAAAATCATAGAAAAAATAAAGTTTATGAACCATGGTACCACTGTATACCACCTAGTGACACTGCACCCATCTTTGTTTGTATAACTACATCCAACCATCTGTACACAACCACAAAACTACCTACTCTTTCACAGAATGTGTCCCTGTCCTTAAGTAACAAGACTATCTAACTATATTTCTATCAGCAGATTCATATTGCTGTAATTCATTAATACTACATTAACTTTTAATTAGTGAAAAAATATATATGCTAGTGATGACAAGACTATAAACAATATAACATTCAAGGAGGATAAAGGGTTCTGATTGGGGAGCTTAAATAAATCTATAAACTAAACAACGAAAGCATTCCCAAATCTATAGGTTTCTTATATACAAGAGTGTACAGAAACACTAAAAAGCTACACTAGAGAATTACCATTAGACAGTAGCATCAGTTCTGAAGACAGAACTTCTAAATACCAATATAACTTAAGGACCACCATAGCAACAAATTATAATATACTGTCAAATAAGGTTTCTACGGTTACATAATAAAATATAATCAAATGAGTAATTATTTGAAGTTCTATGCAACTCATTATAACAAACAGAAAAAGTGATCTTACCGTAATGCAGAGTAGACACCCAAGGACAGAAATGAATAATCAGGGTCATAGTACAAATATACAGAGGACACACAGTATGGAAGGATGTCAATCACCCCCACAGCAATAATCTTTCCATCAAGCCAGTACTGCTGGTGAAAGGAGCCATAACCACATTCTGGTCCAGTAGGGGGGTTCTCTGCCTAGGAAAAAGTAGACATACCAATATGAACAGTTTGCCACTTTTTTCTGAATATTAAAAAATCTCATAATTCATCTAGTATACTCAAGTTCACTAAGTCCTACAATTTCTTCTCTGTTGCCATCAACTTCCCCAGTCACAACGTATATTAAGTTGCAAAACATTTTAATAACAAAAACAAGGAGGAAAAAAGGAAATAGGGAGAGAAAAGGGATGGAGAGGATGCTTAACATGCACAGAGTTGCAGCTAGAGAGGATGAATAACTTATAAAGTTATCTATCACAGCAGGATAGCTATGGTTGACAAAAATTAACTGAGTATTTCAAAACAGCTAGTACAGAGAATTTTGAATGATCCCAACACAAAAAAATGTCTGAGTGACAGATATGACATTTATTCTGATCTGTTCATTATACACTGTATATGTTTTGAAATGTCAACTGTATCCCATAAATTACATATGATTATGTCAATTAAAAATAAAATACTCTAAAAAGAAAGTGAGGAATTTGCAAGTTTTCTTAAACTTACTGGTTTTAATACTGACAGTGAAGTTATGATTTTGCAAGATAAATAAATCACTATTAAACTATATTCTTTGTTTCATACACAGGTAGAAAGAAATAATATGTGAAAGATAAAGTAAAACAAGAGGGCTGGGTCAGAAAAAAGTGGTGTGCTACAGCCAAGGAGGCCTGTTCTGTGACTACCCCAACACTGAGAAGCCGCATGATCCCGCTATTCTTTCCAGATCTGAACTCTCATGTAAGCACAAAGTATACTGTGGCACGGATTATTAGCTAAAGGAAAATGATTTCTTCATCATTCTTAGTGCAACTCGAATCCCAGAGAAGAAATCTAAGTATTCCAGAGTATAATAATCTTTTCATAAATTGGGCTGATTAAAGGACATTTCTCATTTTAAAATTCAACATGATTTTAAATATAACTACTTAAATGAAAATCATATAATAAAATTTATGAAGCAACATAAAAACACTTTATTAGAAACTGAAAAGATGTCAGAGATAAATAATTTAAGTGAATAAATGCAATACAGATTGTGTATCATTTCACACAGTTAAAATCACTGGAATATACATGGAAAAAAACAAAGAAGAATAAAGAAAAGTTTAAATATCAGATTTACTAATACTAAAACTAGAAAAAAATTATGAGGAAGCAAATCTACAATTTAATATTGTTCATGAACATACATGCAAAAATCTTCAACAAAATATTAGGAAATTGAATCCAATGTATATAATTATATACCATGACCCAGAGAGATTTATTTCAGATATTCAGGGCTTTTTTCTCATCCAATCTTCTCGTTTTATTTTATCTTTTATGTATCATTTCTTTCCACTTGTGTATGGAACAAAGAATATCAGTATGAGAAAAACAATTTTAAAAAGGAAAAAAAAGGAGGACAAGGGGAAGAAATTAATATAATCTACCACATCCACAGGGCTAAAACAAGAAAAATCATTATGACCACATCAATTGATGCAGGAAACACATTTGACAAAATCTATTTATAATTAAAAACTCTTTTTAAAAAGCTCTTAAACTAGGTATAGAGGAAAACATTCTCAATTTGATAAAAAATACAAAAGACCTAAAACTGATACCTCATTTCATAGTAATATAATGAACAAACCAAGGATATCCTCTCTGATTTCTATTCAGCATCGGACTTGAAATTCAGGCTAGTATAATAACACAAGAAAAGAAAATATGGGTATTCATATTTTCTATGAAGAAATCTTCATAACAACATAAATTCACCTTATTCTGTATCACCTCCACCTTCCGAAAAAGCTGCCATTTCTACAGATGACATGCTTATATAGAAAATCCCAAAGAATCAACAGAAAAACTGGAAGAAATTATATGTAGTTTCCAGAATACAAAGTTAACATACAAAAATCAACTGTTTTACTTATATCAGAAATTAATAGAATTTAAATTAAAAACACAAACGACTTACAGTATCATGAAAAAAACTAACATATATAGAATCTATATGTAGAAAACTATAAGATGAGAGGAATTAAAGAAGCCTAAATAAATGGGAAAATATGCATTATGGGTTGGGAGACTAAATACTGTTAAGATGTCTATTTTTCTCAAACTGATGTATAGACACTGAGTACCCAATAAAAGTCACAGCAAACTGTTTTATGTATACTGACAAATTTATTCTGAAGTTCACAGGAAGAGACAAAAGACAAGCAACTGTCTTTACAACAAATGGTGCTGAAACAAAAGATATGAACAAATTCTTCACCAAAATAAATGTACAAATGGCAAATAAGCATAAAAAAATGTTTAACATCATACACCACCAAGGAATTACAAGTTTAAACAACAGGTGGGAACATTCAGTACTCCTGGCTCATAGCTGTGGTACATTTCATGCAGACTCTCTAGCTGTTGGTTCCAGTGGTACCTGGGGTCTGAAATCCCTATAAAGCCATCTATTCCTGAGCTTTTCTGTGTTGAAGATTTTCAATTACTGTTTCAAATCACACTATTATTGGTACACCAAGCTGAATGGTTATTCATGCACCAAATGGTTATTCACGCACCTTATCTCCACAGAAGCTAAGGAAATCAGTGACAGGGTCCAACACAAATGAACTGAATAGGATAAAGTAGTAAACAATACTTCTTGACACATAAAGTCAAGAATATATCACTAAAAAACAGAACCTAAATAAAGAAATCTTCATAACAACATAAATTCACCTTATTCTGTACCACCTCAACCTTCAGAAAGAAAGAGACAGAAAGAGAAAAAGAGGGGAGGGGAGGGGAGGGGAGGAGAGGAAAAAGAGACAGAGAAACAGAGAGAGAGAAAGAAGGGAGGGAAGAAAACAGGATAAGAAAATACCTCCAAAGACTCCCAATTTTCTCAAACTGGGCCCAAGGGATACTAGTAAAGAGATAAGCAAACACCAGATAGCTGAGTTATATGAAATGATGACAGAGTAAGCAAAATAATTTGTTAAATTCAAAGATGACATAACTCAAAAATAGTGGAAAAAAAAAATCAAACAAACCAACCAATGTAGTTATGGAATAAATAAAAAATTGGAAGAGCAGGCCAAAATGATTTAAAATATAAACGACAACTTTACCAAAGAGACAGACTCCAAAACACACGTCAAAGAGAAATCCTGGAGATAAATAACTGTGTTGAATTGATAAACACAAGAAATAACCAATGTGAAGATAGAGTTTCAGAATTTGAGGACAAAATGGAACCACATGATGACATGCTAAGAGAAACCTTAAAAAAATGCTAAAACCAAGAAAAATTCACCCAGTAGCTACTAGATGATAGTCAGAAGACTAACCAAAAGCTCACTGGAGTTAGAAATTAGAGAACAGAATAAATGAAATTTAAAAATCTGTTTACAAAACATCAAAGCATAAAACTTTTCAGGACAAGGAAACAACTCAACATACTGGTAAGCAAAGCTTATAAAATACCAAATGAACTACAATAAGAAAGGAAGCTCTGCATAACACGTTAGTTAAAAAATCTCAGAAGTCCAATGCAAAGATAGAATCATAAAAGCTGTCAGAGAAAAGCAAAACATTTTTAAAGGTAAACTCAGACTTACAGATTTTTCAACAAAAATTTTAAAGGCTAAGAGAGCTTGGAGTGAAGTATTTCAAGTCCTAAAATAAAACAACTTCCAACTCAAACTAGTATATCTTGCAAAACTATCTTTCAATATTGATGAAGAAATAAGGGCATTCCATGACAAAGAACACTTGAAGAAATTTATGAACACCATATTACAGAAAATAATATGCAAGAATATTATATCATAGGCAGTGACAATGAAGCCCCTACAAAGCCAAAAAAAAAGCTGAATAGAATGAATACATCATGCCAAGTGAGTACTTAAACAAAAAGGGGAAAATAGTCAACAACAGAAAAACAAGACAATGACGGGAGTAAGAAAATATCTAATAACGCTCAATGTAAATGGCATCAACTCCCCAGCTAAAAAACACAGACTGGTAGACTGGATCAGAAAACAAAATACAACCATCGGAAATAAACAAGAAAATTGTAGATAGAAATTCAAAGGGTAGAAAACAATATTCCATGCACCACGACACCAAAAGCAAGCAGGGCAATAAATTTTAACCTCAGGCAAAGGAAATCTGAAGCTAAAAATGACCAGAAAAGGCAAAAAAGATCACTACATATTAGTTAAGAAAACAATTCAAAAGGAAGAGTAACAATTGTAAACATACATGCGCTGAATATCAGTATACCTCACTTCATAAAACAAACACTCCTGGACATAAAAGATCAAATAACACCAACACAAACATAGCAGATGCCCTCAATATCCCACTATCACAAACAAATCAACTAAACAAAGAATCAGTGAAGGAATATCAGAGATGAATCACACCTTTGAACAAATGGACTTAATGGATATCTACAGAGTATTCTACCCTACTACAATAAAATACACATTCTTCTCAGCAGTACACAAAACTTTCTTCAAAACAGACCACACCCTAGGTCCATAAAGTCTGCCCAAATACAAAACAAATCAAAATCATCCCATGTACACTATCAGACACAACATACTGAAATTAGAAACCAATCACAAAAGAAATCACAGAAATTTAACAAGCATCTGGATATTATATGACATACTCCTAAACACGCAGTGGGTCACAGAAGAAATCAAAGAAGAAAATAATTCATAGAATCAAATGCCAATGCCAGTACAACATACCAGAACCTATGGGATACAATGAAAGCAGTCCTAACAGAAAAGTTTATTGCTGTGAATGCTCACATTAGAAAAACAGAACTCAAATAAATAACCTAATGATGCACCACAGACAATAAAAAAAACAGGCACAGTCCAAACCCAAACCTAGTATGAGGAGGGAAACCATAAAGATCAGAGTGGAAATTAACAAAATTGAGACTAGAATGACAGTAAATGAATGAA